AACAATTTATCGAATAAAATTAAACCTATTTCATATATTTATTGATTAATTAGTTTAAATCTTATATTAAAAACAAAAATTTGAAAAAATTCTTATGGTGTTTTAATTTTTTTTTTGTTTAAAACAAATATCCACGAAGATCCGGATATACGCAAATATCCTAAAAAAATCTGGATATCCGGAATGACGGATATCCGGATATCCGAAATTTTTCGAAGCAAAGCAAATCGGAAAATTAGATATCCGTAAAAAATAAATCGAATCACAAATACTATATTTTTTTTGATATCCGATCCGCGTCCAGGCCTAGTCTAAAGTATCATCTTCAACTGGTAAAATTAATAAAATGATTTTTTTTTCGTGACAACATTAAGAAAATGATTTGAGTTTTATTATTTGTTATGTTACATATTTTAATTGATATTAGGGTAACTAGTATTTGATCATTAACTTGTCACATCTCATTCCAACAATCTAACTTTCCTATTTTAATTCATACATGAATAGACAGTTATGGATTTCCACAAAAGTGAAACACGAGGAACTCTTCATAGCTTTTTTGTTTTTGTTCTTTAGTCCAAACTTTATAGTTATATAAGTCATGTGATGCAAATACTCTATAAGTTATAACCTCTTTTTTTTTGCAAGAACATCTTTATAGTTATAAGTTATAAAAGCAAAAATATTCAGAAGTGACCACATAATTGAATATAATTTTGAGTATTAACACAATACATATATAATTATATATTATTCATTATTGACACGTATAACAAACTTTACTTAATAACGAAATAACATGTCATGATGACCAGATTATGGTTGGGTTTAGGAGTAAAAGTGTCTCAGCCAATTTGAGAACCCATAACTGACCAGATTATGAAAAAAGAGGCGACCCCTTATTTCATTACGTTCTTCACAAAACAGAAAACCTTGCACGCTTCTCCACTTCTGCATATGATCTCATGTTGCAAGCATGTTTTTGATTGCAAATCAAACAATGAAAAAGAAATGGTGTACTCTCTGCATGGACCAGATGATCCGACTCCAGTGCAATTTAGAATGCTTGTCTCGAATTAGCTCTCATGTCCTAATTGCTGAAAACGAATCTCGGAACTTAGCCTCCGAATATCTTTATAGCGCGATATCGTCCAAACTTGATGTTGGATGTGACTGCGGGTAAATTTGCAAGCATTTATATTGCACTAAACTATAATTTGTAATTGGCTTTACCTTTTAAGATTTAACAACCAAATATAACTACTATATATGTATTACTATCGACAACAATAAATCCGATGATGTGATTAGCAAAGAAGTAAATCCCAGAGCGTCTAATATATATATAGCTAAATGGTTCGAAAAGATAAATCTTTGATGATTCCATCATACATGATTGAGTTGCGAAAATTGAAATGACAATATAATTTGTAACATAATTAATGATTTATCTAACATTATTAATTTACTATATATGAGATTCATTATAAACATAATGATTCATTATAAAACGTAATATATATAGTACTTACAATATATTTATTTATATTTTATTATAGTAATGACACTTATTTATTAAGTAAATACAATATGTTTATTTTTATACTAAACGAATAATTTCTATAACAAAAACAGTTATATCGTTTATACCGTTAATATAATTGGCGGTTATTCTGGCGTATAGTATTTTGATATTCATTGCTAGTTTCTAGTAATGAAAATTTCATTACCATTTACCTAATTCGTAATTTAATCTTCGTATACACCAAATTATCCCAAATATTAACAACGTCAATATCTCTTCTATCCATTTTAAGTCTTTTTTTTTCTATCAACATGATTTATGACTAGAACTTGAGATTAGTTCTGGAGATTTTTTGCCTCACATGTCCCTGCTTTCCGACTAGTACCATATATTTCTCAGCATGTAGGTGTACTAGTTTGATTGGAGAGTATTGTTCGGGTGATTTTTTTCTATATAGATGTGCGTTGTTTCGATTGGAGAAGCGGCTTCTTTGTGCTCGGGTTTGGATGTTGAGACGAGGTTCATACACATAAGTATATGCTCTTTGTATTTTTTCCGAGTTACGGTTTTGTTTTTCGCTAAACTTTAGTTTTGTTCTTGTTTTATACCTTTATTAATTTTTCATACTCTAACACTTTCATCTGTCTTTTTAATAGAAACCCTTTTCTCATTTTCTCAGAAAATAGGAAGAAACATGATATATGAAGCATCCAAACTCTTTAAATGTAACATTTTTGAAAAAATATTATCAAATGAGAAAAGTTCATAATTAGGATAAAAAGTGGAAACCTATTGATAATTAAGACTAAATAAATATGTATGATGAAAAAGAACACGTTTGC